TGGAGATTGCGCACCTAAAATTGTTTATGTGTATTTTAAAAGCGACAAGGAGTCACTTTTTTTCCCAAGTCTGAAGCAGTCAACAGCAGAGTATTCTCTAATATGAACCCTTGTGTTATTGAATGTATTTTATTTTCCATAGATGTCAGTGGGATCTCAGATACAGAAGGAGCCATATTGGCCATTCGGTCCTATTTCCTCTAAAAGAGAATATTTGTAGCTCAGGGTAGGAAATGAAGGGTCTTTGGTGCTCTCTGAGCTTGGCTGATTTCTTGCAGATGTTTCATTTTACCCAAACTAGGTAACATCATCAGTGCTAGTAACATCATAATGGACTAGCACTGATGATTTTATCTAGTTGGGGTAATGAAATGTCTGCAAGAAAAAAACCAAGATCAGAGAGCATCAAGGACTCCTCAGACCTATTTCCTGCTCAGTCCCAGAATTCAAACTGAAACATCTTCAACAAATGACAGTCTAATCCCTTCTTGAACACACATAGCAATGAGAATTCTTGATAGGTAACTGAGTCCTTTGCCAGTATTATTCACTGTTAATTGTTCAACTTCCTGACTAGTAATTCTCTTCCTGATCCTTCTTTCAATGTCTCTTATTATTTCCTTTCCTTTGTTTCTTTATAGGTAGTCCTGGCTTACCAACCACTTGTTCAGCAACTATTAGAAGTTACAACAGTGCTGAAAAAGGAGACTTATGATCAGTCGTTAAATTTGGGGGCCTCACTGTACCCCATAGTCATATGATTGCCATTTGCAATCTTCATAATCAGTTTCCAAAGAACAAAAAAACAGTGGGGAAACCAGAAAGACCTCACAAGTTGTGGTCATGTGACATTGTGCTTAATGATCTACAGCAGGGGTGTCAAACTGCCGGCCTGTAGGCCGAACGCGTCACGAGGAAACCACGCCCACCCCATTGCCGACAATGGGGGAAAAGCTCTGATACGTCATGCGACGTCACGAGTTTGACATGTCTGATCTGCAGTGATTCACTGAATGACTGCAGCAGAATTGACACTGTAAGTTAGCATGATGTTTAACTTAATAATTGTGACACTTAGCAACAGAGTTGCCAGTCACAATTGCAATCAGTAAGTGAAGACTACCTATATTTTTATTAATTTGAAGAAATGTATAAAACCAGTATCGGTATGCTTGGAGGGAAGGCAGAGCAAAGTAAAAAGAGATGCCAGCATTGCACTTCTCCCAATTCTGGATTTTAAAATAGCATTTTACCCTTTCTGCAAATTTTCTAAGTAGAATAATAGGTTATTTTCGTAAATTATAAACATGCCTGCAAGACCTAGCTATACAACACTCACTAGATTATAATACTGGAAAAACTAAGAACATTATGCATCCACAAAATATTTCACAATCATTGCGGTGCAAAGAAAATTTAAAGGCCACACTTAAAATACTTTATTTTGGATGCTCCAATTAGAGATGCTGTGATTGTTTATGAAGTTAGTGCAGGTTAAACATCCATTTTAATACTCAATATGATAAAAATAGACTTTGAGATCCCTATTATGTCTCTTTATTCAATTTTACATACTATAATCATTCATTTCACACTGAGACAAGACCTTTCTTTTTATTATCCTAACACCACCAATAAAGATTGCTAAAATGTATTTTTCTGTGGGCAAAGTTATCTTCTATGATATGCAAAGCTTCAGAAAGAAGTTTAATATTTACGGATGGATTCTTGTAGAACTACAAATGCTTTTCATAAATCATGAGGTGGTACGGTGCTGCCCTACAGCGTCAGCTATTTATTCAAAATTGTCATATGAAACATCCTGTAATGACAGGGTGTGTTATGCACAAATATGTTTCTACCTAGATAAGAATTCCTGGATGCAAAGATGCCTATAGTCTAATAGGGTGACAAATAAAGGGAATGGAAGATGGGACCTATTTTAATAGAATAGGCTTGACCCTCAATTGCTATGAAATTTTTTTTCAAATTGAAAAAAAAGATTAAATCATGGACTTTATGAAAACATGTAAAAAGAAGTTATTACAAAAATGGCAGTCCTCTGGTAATTTAATATTTCAGCATTGCCAAAATAATTTGACATTTTTAATGAGCAACCAGGCAGAAGTTTTTTTTTCCCAACTCCAATGAGCAAGAACGTTTTTCTTATATTTAATTAATTTAATTAATTAATTTGCCACACATCTCACTATACAAAGCGACTCTGGATGGCTTACCAATATAATAGGGTCCCATATATTAAAACATTTTTAAAATTATAATTAACATATCTGCATCTTAAATCTCTGTTTATGATTAAACAAGCATTTCATAAATGTAAAGAAAAACTTTACATTTTATATTAGGTAGTGGCTATTTTATTAAGGTGCTAGTTGCTAGAAAATATTTCAGTTTGGAAAAGGAGGTATTTCATAATGGGCATCTACAGGGGCAGGAAGTCATAAAAGTCAAGATGGAGTTGCAATCACATAATCAACACCCTCTTTTTAACTTGTGGTATGCATGCAAAAAGAAGGTGGGCTTTTGATTGCCCAGTGGTGGCCCAGGTGAACTAGACTAGCCCTGTGGATGGCCTCGTCTTCCAAGCTCATCAAAATTACAGCTAAAAAAAAAATCAGGAGTCTGGTAGCACTTTTTCTGATTAGTCCATTTTATTAAAAGGCGTAAGTTTACTTGAGCTGAAGCTCACTTCATCAAATGCCTAAAGTAACTGACAAATATAGGATTTAAACTGGACAGATGTAGGATTTAAACTGGGATGAGATGGGAGAAGAAAGAGATGGGGGGGGGGGTTATTCAGATGCAACTTTCATGTGAGATAATTGCCAGGACCTTATTAACAATTGTAACATTTAAAAATTGTGTTTATTGAGATAGTTTGAAATCTTTTGAGGTATGTCTATTCAACAATCTCTTGCTCAGTGATGCTGTTAAAGTCTGTTTTCCAAGATGTTCACTTTGATATCTGCAGAGATTGAAATGCTCTGATATTACTCTGCCCTTTCAGGAGTCCTGATGTTAAAACTCTACCCATTAATTCTTTTGCACAATTATTAAGCTCAAAATCACATGTATCAAAAGGTTTCAGTCTATCTCAAAAGGTCTCAAGAAACTCAATGAGTTTCAGGTCCCAAGACTCCAATAAATAAAGGCTGAACCTTATACAACTCTTTATCTTATTTCTAGAAGAAACAGAAATGGCCATATAGGAAACATCTCCAAAGATATGTTAAGACCTATCATTCTGATAATTAAGAACATAGCCAACATCTTGAACCACTTATGGACAGCTAGTATACTATACCAGTACTAGTGAACACTGTATATTATCTGTGAAGGCTGGCCTGTAATAATTAACATCAGCTCTTTAGGTGTCATGGACAAAGCCTATTATATATTATTCTGACATTTTGCTCTGATCCTTTTAGCGCAGATTTAGTATGTTCCACCGTACTGACTCCTTAATGATTTGATTGTGCACAACTAAAGAAGAAAATGTCATCTTTTTTATCAGTAGGAAAGAATCTCTTGTTATCATATTTCAAATTTCACTTCCCGATTCAAATCTTGGGCTGAATATTATACAATTTTAAGACTGTTATTACCACTACTACCCACTGTTTCAGCCTTACCAATATTTGAATGTTATTCTGAAACATGTTTTTTTTTTCTGAAATCCATCTTTTAATATCATTACTGCTAGGTACAGTCTCTCCTTGGATGATTTATAGCAATTACTTGCTTCTTTTTGGCCTACAATGAATGTCATTTTCCAAGACCAACTCTCTGAGTTCCACTGATGGCACAGAGAACACAGAGAGAAAGATGGCATCAAAGGAGACCAATCTTTGCTAAGAGCCAGATAAAAATTATGGTTATTTCAATGCAATATAATAAGAGCAGTAAGGCAAATGATGCACATAATCAGAACTTCATCCTGGAAATTCATTTCCAATCAGTATCTCTTCAATGAGCTGAACTTTTTTTTGCTGCAATACACACACAGACACACACACCAAATCAAAATTACAGTTTAACATGTGATTTGCATTCAAATCAAAATGCTTGTTTCTGGATTTATCCATGGCATGTAAGCATTTTGTTTAAAAGATAATCCATCCACGATTCTGCATCCATAATATTTACTGCAATATTAGTTGTTGCAATATTCAAATTACACATGCAAATGATGAAACCGGGAGACATGGGAAAAGAATTTGGAGGAGGAAAGGACAATGAATATACAAGGATTGAAACTGTAAAAAAAATGTGAAAGAGTAGTAAACAATAACACAAACAGAACACTAAAAACTTGCACACATGGCTTTCTTTCTTATACACTGTGATGGTCCAACACCCTTAAGGTGTGCACACGCAAAGCAGTTCAAGAGTAAACTATCATTAATCATTTTTTCTCATACATGCTGACTTAATGAGCTTTGTATTAATGGGACATATGAATCTACCTGCTAAGATCTTAGCTACTATGAATTAGACTGAAGTGACCTATTCAGCAAACTATGGGTAATAACAACAATGGATTCCATAGTAGCCTTTTAGTAAAACAAAAAAATCTCTATGCAGCCATGTTGCAAAGGTGCTGACAATATGCTCTCCAAATTCCCAATGTATTTCTCTAGCTTTAAAGCCATTTGCCCCAATGGCTTAGACTTCAGAACATGTCCTTCAAAAGGAAAAAGTTGTCTGGCTAAAAAGGGGTGACATGATCCAGACCTGACCCCTTTTACTAACCATAGTTAAGATCCTGGAAGGATTACATCTTACATAATAGCAAATTGCAGCTATGTATTTTATTTTAAATCCCCTTTCTAATCATTCTCTGCCTTCTCCCTTTTTTCTCTGCTACAAAGACTACAGTACAGTAATGGAAAATTTTCTCTGAATGTCCTATAATTTTATTTTATTTTATTTTTATCTATTTTATTTGTATCCATTATTATCTCCCTCCTCCTCCTTACCTTTGCATTCATCTTCCTGGCTTCCCTTCTAGCTGCCTTTTCTTTAAGCCTTTTCTCCTGTAAAGAACAAAATTAAAGATAAGAACATAAAGGAGTGTAGAACAAACAAGCAACTTGAAACAAAAATGGGACTTTATGAAGAACCTTTTTGTACATGCCTATATAGCACCACCATTAGTTTTTGTAGGTATAATAATGAATACACGATCGGAAAGTGTTCCCATTCAGCCTTACTTTTAATAAGTGATTATAGATTTTGGGCAGCATTAATATATAATAAATGAGAACTTAGTGTTTCTACCTGAAAGTCAAATTCAACTTTAGCAAGACAATGCTTGATGTAACCCAGGGGTAGTCAACCTTGGCTCTTTTATGACTCGTGGACTTCAATTCCCTAGCTGGCTCAGGAATTCTGGGAGTTGAAGTCCACGAGTCATAAAAGAGCCAAGGTTGACTACCTCTGATGTAACCCAATACTATACAGTGCTTGGTCCAGAATTCTGAATTGGATCCAGAAATTCCTGTAGTCACAGAGGCTCCTGTGGGTTTATAAATGTTGATAGAAAATATAACACAAGAAGGCTTACTTTTGTTTTTGCAATCTTTCTTAGCAAAAATTATTTACAGCTAGATAACAACATTCAGTGCTTCGCTTGGCTGATAGCTACTGCAGCTAGAGTTTTAAAATACATTGTGAAATTGACTTTTTCTTATTGAATTGTTATGTAGCCTAAATGTTCTCTACTAGTGCATTTATGCATTCTGCAATGTTGGCTTAACATAAATGTAGATTGCAGTATTTCTAAATGCTCTATCTATTTTCAATTTAGAGAAGTAGAGGGATAAATATATGGCCCAAACATTTATCTCTCTCAGGCTGTGGCAGATTTTCTTTCTGGTGGATAGGACTTTAAACAACAGCAGGATGACTGAACCACAGAATAAGACACCAATGTGTAAGTCTTCTGTTAGTATTCTTCATCTTTTCCAACCATGTGACTGCTGGTAGTCACAGTGAACTCTCAAATCCATTAACAAACCCTTAAGGTTTCCATTATTCGTTTTAGAGCTTAGGTCTCTTTTTCTATGGTGCACACAGAAAAATCATGAACTCTGTGATTCGCTGCACTTGTTAATTAGGCACTAAGTCATGTCTGACTCTTCACAATCCCATGGACCATAGCACACCAGTCCCCTCCCCCAGTCTCCCACTGTCTCCCAGAGTCTGCCCAAACTCATGCTCACTGCATCGATGACACTATCTAACCATCTCATCCTCTGCCATTCCCTTCTCCTTTTGCCTTCAATCTTTCCCAACATCATAGTCTTTTCCAATGAGTCCTCTCCTCTTATTTGGTGGCCAAGGTATTTGAGCTTCAGTTCTGTCCTTCCAAAGTATCTGTTCTTCCAAAGTATAGTCAAGGTTGATTTCCCTTAGGATTGACTGATTTGATCTCTGTGCAGTCCAAGGAACTCTCAAGAATCTTCTCCAACACCACAATTTGAAAGCATCAATCAACACTCAAATTTTCTTTATGAACTAATTCTCAGAGCCATACATTACTATTGGAAAAACCATAGCTTTGACTATATGGACCTTTGTCGACTCCTGTTTGATGGGTACCATATTTGGGAAAGGGTAGTCTAAACAGGATGCTCTCTACTCTGGGTGTAAGAGAATTTCTCCATCCTAGTATTATAGAGTATAAAGAAAGCAACTGTAAAGAATTTTCCTGGCTCTCTTTGCCATAGTAGCTGCTTGTGTTCCCAATATTTATTTGAACATAATGGATGCTCTCATACAGATCAAAGAATATTCATATAATTTACTTGATCAAGACTCCATTTATTTCAATTATTGTCAGGGTAATTAATGAATAAGTCAGAATGCGAGATATGGGTCACAAACTACTCCAGATTAAACATCAGCGATATTGTTCTTCTCCTTTTCTTGTCAACTTTAAACATCTTTAGATGTCAGTAACCCAATTATGACTTGTTCAATTCTTGTACATTCAGTGTAAATACCTTGACTCTATAAAGTCAGTACTCAATTTTGTACCGCCTCCAGCCCAATTTCCAAGCTACTTTGTTGTGACCTTCTATGCTGTATCCTGTCAACCTATGTCACTTGCCCATTTCTCTCAAAACCTAGTTGCTCTGCTTAAAGCACTACCACTGAAAAGGAGCTGCAACACTCTATTAATAATGACCTGGGAGAAAGGAAGAGGTGAGGAGATGAGACAGAGAAAGGGCATGGGGCAAATTCAGACAGTTGCCAAATCAGAAGTTGAAAATAGATTTTGGGAAAAACATTAAAAATTAATCAGAGAGACTATTCCAGGCATAGGGAGACATTGCTACACTGTGCTATTTTGATGACATTGTATAACTTAAGCACAACACAGCAAAATAAGAAAGGCAAGAGGGCAAAACCATCAATGCTACAACGGAGCAAATTCCAATCATACATCCAATGCATTTTTAAAACTGTCCTTTTCTATGCAAAAGTACATATGCATCACTTTTATAATGATAATTAATACATAAGCAATAGCAATAGCACTTAGATTTATATACCACTTCACAGTGCTTTACAGCCCTCTGGAGGCAGTTTACAGAGTCAGCATATTGCCCCCAACAATCTGGGTCCTCATTTTACCCACCTCAGAAGGATGAAAGGCTGAGTCAACTTCAGCCGGTGAGGATTGAACTTCTGGCAGTTAGCAGAATTAGCCTGCAATACTGCATTCTAACCACTGCACCACCACAGTTTTTCTATCCTTCTAGCAACCAAGAGTTGGAGATGAGTTTTGCATTTTGGCTGTGTCCACATAACATGTCCAGTGATCCTGCAGAGTTTGTTTGGGGTTTAGTATGTGGGGTGATCCTGGTTCTAGTGTTCATTTTCCACTGTAAATAAAACCTGGAAGTCACAAAAAGCAGCCAGGCTGCTATACTTTTCTCCATCACTCATTGGCCATGTTCCATGGGCAGCACAGGTCCATTTCCTTCCACTTTTGATAAAGTGAGAGCTTCATAGATATTGTGCTTCATGCCCATCAGCTTTTAAAGTCTTCTCATCACCCAGAAATTTGCAACCTCTCTCAAATTGGCTTGCTATTCCCCCCCCCCACCCAGTTTGAAAAGCATTGCCATCAGTCAAACAGATTTTATAAGAATCTCCAAGAAAAAAATGGGTGATTATGTTATCATAAATATCATGGATGGACACTTGGCTTACTTGTTATACTTTACATCATCTGCCATTCACACCATGTGCATTTCATTATTCTTGAGTCTGACAGGGCAGTGAAGGTTATCTCCTAGACGCTTGGAGGCAGCTAATCCTATGCTGCCTGGCAAAGCAGTCTTTAGATTAGGGATACTAGTTTGCATAAAAAAGTATGAAGATATTTGCAGTAACAGAACGCTTTGCTTCATTTGTGACTAACATTTGCAAAACTCTTCCGAAACTGATATTGGTCCCTTGCTATTAACAGGTATATTGCATGTGGCACGGATGGAGCAAAGATTAATAATTGAGTCAACATTTTATTTGTATTATTAAAGAAGGCTTCAATGGTCCAAAGCCATGATGGGGCTATCTGTTGACACATGGCAACAGGAAAATTGCAACCTGAAATGTAAGAGATCTACATGGTAAAGAATATGCATATTGTTTACAGTTCACAGTTACAGTTTACAGAGTCAGCATATTGCCCCCAACAATCTGGGTCCTCATTTTACCAACCTTGGAAAGATGGAAAGCTGAGTCAACCTTGGGCCACTGGGAATCAAACTGCCAAACTGCTGGCAGAATATTGCATTCTAACTACTGCATCATCACAGCTCATAAGTGTATTATTTGCATGAGGATATTTATCAACCCATATCTACTAGCTAAATGACATTAAGAAGGGCAGAGAAATCCTACAAAGAAGTATTTGTAGTAGGGTAAGGGACAACATAGAAAAAAAATTCCAGTGGGGATGGCTAAAGTCTAAACAAAAGTTATTAGATTTATTAAAAAAATGAAGAACCAAAAAAAGACTACATGATGTTGGGACTTTTTCCATAACATTTATCTTAACATCAAAATTCTGCAAATAAACATCCAGGTTTTTGGCAATAGTTTGGAGACCTGCAGTACTGTATACTTCTTAAGTATTTTAATATGCCTGCCAACATGTCACAACTGGGGAATTAAAAAAATGAAGAACCAAAAAAACCTCATTCTAAGTGATAAAAAAAAAATACCCAAATGGATCAAGGAGTATATTACAGGAAAAAATTACAAGTGTGAGTATGAAGAGTGGGAAATTGTGTTCTTTATAGTGCTCAGAAAAAGAACATCTTGGTAATCGGGATGTTATTCTACTTATTATTATTATTATTATTATTATTATCATCATCATCATCATCAGGTAGGAGCTGGGCAAGTAACGGGAACTGACCCCGTCGCACAGTGCTTGGGTCTCAAATCTGGACTGTTAGCTTTCCAGCTTACAAGCTCAGTATCTTTAACCGCTGAGTCATCGTGCCCCCTATATTATGTAGTATGAATCATGAAACCTGGAAATGCCAGGGGCATGTAGCCCCACATCTTTGGAATGCCCTTTGACAGGAAATGTGCACAAATCTATGCATGTTTGCTATAGGTAATCCTCAGTTAATGACCACTCATAGCCAAAGTGTTCCTAAGAAGGCTTTCATGTTCAACAATCAATCTTACATTCAAATTTGGCATATTATGCAAAACTCTCATTCTAAACCAGGCTCAAAAGAACACTATTTCGTCTCCTCCAAAACAAAAACATATAACTGCCTGTCCTTTTAGCCCATGTTCGCAGGAAGTTTAATAATCTGTTCTATGAAATACAGATTATTTCTTCTTCCACACATGGAAAGGGGGTTGGTCTTTTATGTGCTGCATCCACAGATCTGCTATAAATAAGAATAATGAGAAGAAGCAGAAGAGCATTACAGGGAAAGAGTAACATTTATAACTATTCTCTGCTGTCAAGTTCTCAAACTTTCAGCTCTGTTTTATGACAAATAAATGGCCCAGCAACAATCTTTGTATTTTTATGTCCTATAATTTAATTTCTTTTAAATGCCAAAAAGGAGCTTAAACTATTACTATTAAAGCTTTACATTATAAGTGAAATCAATCACCTTGCATCAATGACATTTCTTGAATAATTCATTGGTAACTCTCAATCACCTCTACACAAAGCATAGCCATTTAAATAAAATATCACACTCATAAAATCTCATTAGTACAGAGCTTTCTAGTCCTCATCATTCTTGATGAAGTACAGTCTTGTTATTATGCTACTTAAAATTTTACCCTTTTATCTACTAACAGTCTATCATATAAATAAATGTAATATTGATCCACAAAACCACAAGTCTATGACCCATCCACTCATACGGTTCGGTTACTGTTTGTACATATTTATTTAAAATCAGATAATCATATTGGAGTGCCATAAATTACTTACTAACAAGAATGTCAATGTTCATGGGGAATAGCAATACTAGTGAAACCAAACCATGGATCCACACCTCTTCTTGTGTTGCCTAGATTCATGCATCAGACCAGAACAAGAAGAAATACTGAATAGATAATTAATTCTTTTCCAGTAAAATCCTTCATCCCCAATGAACATACGAACATTTCACATTATTTCCATTTGATATTTTGACAAATGGGATGAAATTATACTTACCCTGTGTTTTTCTTTAATTTTCTTCCTATATTCCTCTTTGTCAAATTTATCCTCTTCCTGAAGTCTTTCTTTTGCTTTGTCTAGATTGATCCCATTACAATCATCACCATCTTCCTCTTTCTCCAGGGTAGATTTTTGTGCTGGTGGCCACTGCTGAATTAACTGAATCACAGAAGAAGAATAAAAACATTTCAGTACTGCTGTTTCTATTCTAAGTTTAAAAGGAGCTCTGGATTGCTATGAACACCAAAAGGCATCAGATCTGCACAACAGGGAATAGTTACAGAAATATAATTTTCAGGCAGGGAAGTTAACAGAAGAAATAAAAATTGAAGCAAGGCTCTGAAAGATGACATTGTTTAATTAAATGGGGTGGTTCAAATGTCAGCTTGTATGAGGTGTGTAGGAAGTAGGCAGTCCCCAATAACTGGGTCTTATACCACAGAAGGTTTATAGGTCATAAGCATCACCTGGAATCATACCCAGAAGCAAACTGGCAATCAGTGAAGTTCAGATAGCAGGGATATCAAATAGCAACATACCAAGGCATGCACTTTATTGCCTGCATGGCTCCATTCTGGACCAGTTGAAATTTCCAAGAGATCTTTAAGGACAGGGCAGATTGCAGTAACTGAATCATGAGTAATTGTCCAAAGAGTCTCCCAATCCAAGAAATGGTACAACTGGCATAACAGATGAAGTTCCTCTTGGCCATTAACTGCCACCGCTCTCAAGCAGGAGATGTAAATCTAAGAAGACCCCCAGATTGTACACCACCCTTAAATAACAGAATAACAGAGTTGGAAGGGAGTTTGGAGGTCTTCTATTCCAACTCCCTGCTCAAGCAGGAAACCTTATACCATTTCAGACAAATGATTGTCCAATCTCTTCTTAAAAACCTCCAGTGTTGGAGCACCCACAACTTCTGGAGGCAAGTCGCCCTACTGAATGATTGTTCTAACTGTCAGGAAATTTCTCTTTAGTTCTAGGTTGCTTCTCTCCTTGATTAGTTTCCATCTATTGCTTCTTGTCCTGCCTAGAGGGGCTTTGGAGAATAGGTTGACCCCCTTTTCTTTGTGGCAGCCCCTTAGATATTGAAACACTGTTATCATGTCACCCCTAGTCCTTCTTTTCATTTAACTAGACATATCCAATTCCTGCAATCGTTCAGAGCCCGAATAGTGACTATCCAGACATAACAAGGAATAGCAAAGACAGCTGCATCTTAGTTTGGTTCATGCCAGAGCAACAAGCCTTCCAAATTCAAGAGTCAGCTCAACATTTCAGAACCAGGAGAATATCAAAAGGCTGTTTCATCACCTGATAATTCTACAGCAATAGCTTTTAACCCTATCCTCTCCTCATCTGCAATTAGGGTGCTAATGTGCAAAAGTTCAATCCAGAGAAAACTATCATACAAATTCAAGAGAATACAGAAGTCAATAGCAGCAGAGGAAAACCAGCTAACACAGCATTTGTTCAAATCAAAAGAGTGCATTTGTATATATGTATATCTCTAATCATAGTTGGTTTAATCAAAGATAATCATTCAGAGCTATCAGGTATGCACTGAAATCAGGGGGTGGGTGGGTGGCAATGAGAAGCATCACAGTCTTCAGAATCCAAGCTACACCTTTGAAAGGGAACATAAAAAAATGATGGGGCAAGAACAATGAATTCTCACAATACCAAGGAAAGGGGATTCACTGAATCTGGAGACAACCAATGGTAAACACTGCTTGTTAAAGAAAAAGAAAAAGTAATGAGCCTCAGGGACAGAAAACACTGCTATGTAGAAATATGCATCAATACAGTTAAAAGAATCATTTCCACATGAGAGCTACCCAACACCTAAGATTGCTCACTGTTGTTTGAGCTACTGTTTATATACAATGGCATAATCATAAGCACAAATGGCTGAAAAGATCAGACTGTTTGACCACCACCCATTCCATGGGACTATACATAATACTGCTAGACTCCATATCAGATATTCATAAAAACAAACTTTAATTCATTGACCTCATTATAGAAGTTGACAAGGGTTGTGAGAGAAACACATTATAGTGTTTCCTAGAAAAAAGAAAAACAGGCAGAAAATAAATGGTTGCGACTTTCTATCAAGCTCACATACTTACTATCCATTGCTCTCAGTTTCAAATTAGCTTTTGCAATTGCAATGAACTAAGAGGCAAAGCAGTGAGACTTCGACTTGAGCAGGGCATTTGTCTTATCCTTCAGCAAACTAACATAAATGCTCCATTGCAAATTGTAATTTCCCTGCACCCAGCGGTAATGTACTGCTTGCAGAGATACTGAAATGTTACTGGGCTCATTATACTCTTGACAACAGTGAAGCAGATCAAAAGAGGGGAAGGGCGTCAAGGAAGAATAAGGCTGAGTTCTATTGAACACAGAGATGTGACAAATGAAGTTTATATTGATAAAAAGCTCCCACAAACCTATAGACCAGTGTTTCTCAACCTCAGCAATTTTAAGATGTGTGGACTTCAACTCCCAGAATTCTCCAGCCAGCATGCTGGCTGAGGAATTCTGGGACTTGAAGTCCACAAATCGTAAAGTTGTTGAGGTTGAGAAACACTGCTATAGACCATCTTTGCCACTCAGATCATCTCTACCATGCAATTTGGTTCTCTGCCACTCAGAATCATTTATTTATGTAATCCATTCAATCCAGTAAATGAGCATGTAGAAATAGGGGTTTTAAAATTCCCACACAAAAGGAACCGCAGTATATTTGCTATTAGTTTAGTGTGGGATTGTGGATTACGCTTATGAGAGTTATTCATCAGAAGTATTAATTAAATATATGAAAACCAGAAAAGATACTTTTGGATGTCAGATACAGTATAGTTCAGACTTATTCCAAACTAGGGACATGCAAAACATTTCTAATTTTACTTCAAAACAACGCCAACTTGACTGAAAACATTCTGCTTGGAACACAAAACAACTGTTCTGAACTCAAAGCACGACGCGTTAAGGGAATCCATCAATTTCCCTTGCAAATGTTTAAATAGTATTTAATAGAAATAATTGGTAATAATGGACAGACAGCACTCCCAAAGTTTATATTTTGGGGACAGTGACATTCACTCAGGCTTCACCTCAATACCCAAGTCCAACTTTTTCCTTACCATCAGTACTTGCACTTGTCCCAGGAGGTGGAAATAAAATATTGAGCAATCATAGATATTGCAATAATCTAAAACCAGATGTCTGGGGTATTATTAAGCTGAAATATAATCAAACCTATTTGGCTAATAAAGGTAATATTCCCTTAGTCTACACTCCAAAAAGCTATTAATGTAGGAAATCTTAAAAGTATAATCAGATTATTTGTATTTGATCTTACCTCTCCATCTTCAGTAAATACAATTTTTGTATTTACTTTAAAATTTCTCTTCAAAACCTTTTTAGCTTCTTTTGTCTTAGTTATTTTCTTCTTCACTTTTACATTCTGTGTAACCTAAAAAAGATGGGAAAAAGATGGAAGACAGCCTTTATCATAAAAGGTTCTGAAATGAGCATTATTCAATCAGCACCAAAAAACCCTACCTTTCAGCGTTTTTTGAATAAATACATTTCTAATCCTGCAAATTTCAGTAATACATGTTAACGTGTGATATGATGTCTCAAAAAGAAAAGGGAAGATAATAGGGAAATTTTGTGATGTGATATCTCAAAAAGAAAAGATAATGGGAAAATTTCTAAAGTCGTTAATACATCAGACTGTGATGAGGCAACAACACTATCTCAATACTGCTGCAATTTTGCACCCTTAACTGAGCCAGAGAAAATCTAATAGTCAGTTTTATAGATATCTCTTTTGCTTGATAAAATTTTATTCTCAATAAGCATTCAAACATTTCACATACAACATCCTATAAATATGTTGAATATTATAAGGCTTGCAGGGAAACATATTATTTTTATAACCTACAATTTTCTAATATTTGCAGTTTCCAACCACATTAGCTTTTCCCAATAGTATTTATAAACACTAGTTTGTTCCATACATAATTAATACTATTTCAAACTGCTATGATTAATACAGGTTACTTAATAGCTAAGAAGATATATAACAGAAATAACTTAGGGGCAACATAATAAATGTCTAAATTAATAGATGGCAAAACATCTAAATTAATAAATGTAATGAATGACTTTTTATTAAACTCACAATGCCCTTCAATTTGTAAAACAAGTTCATCAATATTGGTTTTAAATTTATAACCAGTACCTGTTCAGGCTAGCTAAATGTAGAAACAAAAGTTTAGATTATTGAAATGGAAATTAAAAATGGAAAGCCAAACTTAAAATGTCTTGCATTTTCTCCCTTAATGGCTATCTCTTTACGTATGTCTGTATTTATATGTGAGTGGAGGGATTCTGTATTGTTTTCAGAAAATGCTCTGAGGCAGTCTCTCGTGAAACTCCCAGGGAAACAATTTTTTCACTGGCATGTAATGCCATCTTAAACGAAACGTGTGGATTTTCCACATTGAAACATAGCTTCCCATGTGTTCGAGGGGGTGCAATGGTTCAGTGGTTAAAGTCACTGAGCTTGTCACTTGAAAAGCTAACAGCCCGGGTTGGAGACCCAAGCGCCGTGCAATGGGGTGAGCTCCCGTTTTTTGCCCCAGCTCCTGCCAACCCAGCAGTTTCAAGCATGCAAATGCAAGTTGGTTAATAGATACCACTTTGGTGGTAAAATAACAGTGTTTTGGCGTGCCTTTGGCGTATAGCCATGCTGGCCATATAACCATAGAAAATGTCTTTGGACAAAGCTGGCTTCCTTGGCCGAGAAACAGAGATGAGCACCACGCCCTAGCGTCGGACATAACTGGACAGGGAAATCTTTACCTTTACCTTCCCATGTGTTCAGTTCATTCAAAAACCTCTTCAAACGTTAAATGAAAATTCATAAAATTAAATTAAATTTGTACCAAATGTACAGGTACAGATTAGATGAAACCTGGCTCAATGGCAGTAACTGCGAGAGGGATCTTGGAGTCCCAGTGGACAATCACTTAAATATGAGCCAGAAGTGAGGCAACAGCCAAAAAAGGCAGTGCAAAGCTAGGTTGTATTAACGGAGGGATAAAATCAAGATCATGTGAAGTGGCCTGTGAAAATTATTTGATCATAAAATATAGGAATAGCTCTGCTGGGTCAGACTATCTTAGCCAACGATTTTGATTCTTAAAATATATTGCACAAGCAGGGGATGGATCACACAGCTATGTTTAAAAATAAGTACAGCCCATTGATTTTTTTTTTTTACTTTTTCGTATTTAAAATTGGTTTCAGAATAAATAAAATATTTACATTTTGTAACCCATTGTGTATTTAAATAAACATAAATGCAAATTTCATATGTGGAAAAACTCAGGCCACCCCTACATGTATCATTCCTTCAAACATCCAAAACCATAAAGTGTGTCTGGCGAAAACCAAAGTCAGTACTTCACCAGAAGAATCTGATATTAACGGTAAGGCATGGTGGTAGAAATGCTACAGTTTGGGGCTGCTTCATTTCGCTCCATCAGGGTCTCGGGAGCTCATCATCACAGAATCCACTATGAATTTGTCATTGTATCAGAAGGTGTTTGAAGATAATGTGAGCTTGCAAGGCGGCAATGACCCTAAGCATTCCAGTTAATCCTCCAAGACAGGGCTTTTCAACCAGTGGTACGGGTACCACCTGTGGTACATTGGCACCTGGCAGGTGGTACGCGACCATCCTACAAAAGTGGTAGCGGGGGAGGGGAATGAGCTGAACCGGTGGCAGCACCGCACAAGCCTGAGCGAGAGATAGCTGGAGCAGCAGGGCTGTCAGGGCTCAGCGGAAGCGCCAGGATCAGCACTTCTTTGGGGCTGTCAGGGCTCAGCGGAAGTGCCAGGATCAGCGCCAGGCTCCAGCTGGAGCTCGGCGCTGATCCTGCTGCTTCTGCTGAGCCCAGAAGAAGCGCCAATCAGCTGGAATGTTGCAGCATCTCCAGGGTCTTGTGATTTACATTCAGATGCTTGGCAACTGATTCATATTTATGATGGTCACAGTGTCCCAGGGTCATGTGAAGTGACCAAAACCGGCTGCAACCACCCAGCAGATGGGGGGAATAAAAACCAAACACCCCCCACCTCACCCCCGCTGCCAATCCTCAAACAGAAATGCTCAGAACAATGAAAACCTCGGACAGAAGGAAGAGCACCACTGGGTGGGCAGGCAGGTGTCTTGCTCGGCTGTGGCTTGGGGGGCACTTTTTTCAGTGCCATTGTAACTTTGAACAGTCACTAAGTGAACTGTTGTAAGTCGAGGACTACCTGTACTTCATCACTTTTTCCCCTTTTTTTGTCATCAAGTTTTTGACACCTTGCTAGGCGACTAGTGGTGTTCGGATGTTGCCATATCCTAAAAGTGGTACAATGGGTGAAAAGGTTGATCCCCTTTTGCGACCGTCTGACAAGCAAAGGCAATGGGGAAGCCAGATTCACTTAACAACCGTGTTACTAACTTAACAACTGCTGTGATTCACTTAACTCTGGCAAGAAAGGTCATAAAATGGGGGCAAAACTCACTTAACAAATGTTTCACTCAGCAACAGAAATGTTGGGCTCAGTTGAGGTCATAAGTCAAGGACTACCCGTATGTCCATGTAAAATATGAGAAGGTAAGAAGGCGAGAAGAAGCAAGAGCAACCTCAGAAGTTGCAAAAATAAAATAAAATAACCATACAAAATGCTTTTGTTGAAATCACTGGAAAGAACAGTATCTTTCATTCCCACAAGCCAAGGACAATTCAATCAAACAAACGGAGAACAATATTTCTTATTTCCCACGTCACTGCATCCATCGCAGAAGTGAGAAATGGATATTGGTTGCATGCTCTGCAAAATGATTTGCATTAAAAAAGGGAAAGAAAATAAGAGAGAGATGAAGGCATAAAAATACATTTCTTTGTGGACTTTAATGAAAATGACATAATCCATTTATCTTGCCCTCCGGAATCCAATTTTTAACCTGCCAGTTTCAATAACTGTTTTTAACATTGGGAATAAAAGCAGCTGCAGGCAAGTGAGGAGGGGGGAGAGAATCCTGAACCCGATTTTCTTCATACCAGGTCACATCATTAACAATGGATTTTTGACAACTATTCTGCAGTTTGGAAAAGAGACTTAGTTTCCTTAGAAATATTACAATTTTAAAAAGGAAGGAAAGCAAGAGATATAAAGACCTGAGTCCAATATCATAGGTGTGTTTGTGTGTCTGTGTTATCAAAGAACTTGCATCTTTGTCATCACAACTGCATAATGAAATCCCTGAAATCATAACATATGTAATGAAGGGGGCTTCTATAGCACAGCCACTGCTGTCATCTTCACTTTTTTGACCTCCAAGGTCCCTTCCAACATTATTATTATTATTATTATTATTATTATTATTATTATTATTATTATTATTATCATCATCATCATCATCATCATCATCATCATCATCATCATCATCATCATCATCATCATCATCATCATCCCAACCCCAGTAGATTCCTCTGCTCTGCACCATTCTCTATATCCCCAAATTTGGAGGGGGTGATGAAGAGGGAAAGTCAATTGCAGACATCCCATCAACAGGTGGATACAACTCAGAAATGTAAATTAATGAGATTCTTAGACTGGTGGGAAGCAAGCTATAAAAGACAAATTGTTTAAAATTAAATCACTTGAAAGAGGCAGTGTGCTGTTTAAAGAATCTCAAAATACATACTATAATCGATGTAATATTAAAAGAGACAAGTACAATACTTTATTTCTATTTGACCAAAAAAAAAATTACCAGCTCTATTTATTGGCACAAGTCCCTTCACAAATCTTAGAATTATTTGAACATCTGAGGAAATAAGATAAACATGTTACAGGATATAAAGAAAAGATATAAAGTTAGTCTAGAGTCTAGACATTTCAGAAACAGTCCAAGAAAACCAAACCAAGATGCTAAATCCTCCAACTAATTCTAAATAGAGTTCAGTTAGAGGTAATATTAAAGGGAATAGTCTCAGCTTCTGGAACTCTGGTTCTAATAAGTGAAAAGTTACATTTTTTTTTGAAAAGTATTTATTGCCTTCTAAAGTACGTTTTTCCAGAAAAAAAATTAAAAAGTGGAATTAAATTAAATTCTCTTAAAGGAAAGAGAAAAGAGAAAGATATAAAATATAATTATAAAAGTTTAATTTGTTCATTATCTTTTTTAAAAAATGTACCTCCAGAACTGTAGTAATTTACTAAAAGCGTTATGGTGTTGATCATTATTTTTATTCCTCCTACTCAAATAATACTCAAAAATGTAATAGTTAAAATTATTATTTTTAAATCATAAGAGCAGGACACTAATATGAGCAAAAAAGCAAACAAAAATTGAATTATTATAACTACTATTAATATAAAATAGATTTTTTTTTAAAAGGCGGTTATATCATTCAATTCTGAGAACTCATTTTATATACATACAATAAAGCTCTATGATAAAATACAAGGCATCAGCAGATGTAATGTTACTTCCCTAACCTGGTATTCTCCAGATATATTGGACATTGTCAGGCATGAAAGATCAGGTCCACGGTGAAGGCCCAATTAAACTGATTTATTGCTAATCATGATTTTGCACAAGAATCTTTCTCAACTAACAGTTAGCACCTGCTAGGAATTAGTAAGAGTCAATGGAATTCAAGGGAGATTGGACTTAGTTCACTTCTGGCTATGCAGGGATTCTAGGTTGATTCCTCTTTTAACTCCACCTCAGGTTCTGCAAGTCCTTCTCCTACATACACAGAGGCAAATACAGGAGCTGGGGGCTGGAAGTGCTGCAACTTATATAATTCATAGCCCATCTGATTAGGTCAAAGTGGAGAAGGAAACCCAATCATAATCTCTTATCTGCAGACCACTGACCAGTGATGCCTTATAAGCTCCCTNATCCATTGCTCTCAGTTTCAAATTAGCTTTTGCAATTGCAATGAACTAAGAGGCAAAGCAGTGAGACTTCGACTTGAGCAGGGCATTTGTCTTATCCTTCAGCAAACTAACATAAATGCTCCATTGCAAATTGTAATTTCCCTGCACCCAGCGGTAATGTACTGCTTGCAGAGATACTGAAATGTTACTGGGCTCATTACACTCTTGACAACAGTGAAGCAGATCAAAAGAGGGGAAGGGCGTCAAGGAAGAATAAGGCTGAGTTCTATTGAACACAGAGATGTGACAAATGAAGTTTATATTGATAAAAAGCTCCCACAAACCTATAGACCAGTGTTTCTCAACCTCAGCAATTTTAAGATGTGTGGACTTCAACTCCCAGAATTCTCCAGCCAGCATGCTGGCTGAGGAATTCTGGGACTTGAAGTCCACAAATCGTAAAGTTGTTGAGGTTGAGAAACACTGCTATAGACCATCTTTGCCACTCAGATCATCTCTACCATGCAATTTGGTTCTCTGCCACTCAGAATCATTTATTTATGTAATCCATTCAATCCAGTAAATGAGCATGTAGAAATGGGGGTTTTAAAATTCCCACACAAAAGGAACCGCAGTATATTTGCTATTAGTTTAGTGTGGGATTGTGGATTACGCTTATGAGAGTTATTCATCAGAAGTATTAATTAAATATATGAAAACCAGAAAAGATACTTTTGGATGTCAGATACAGTATAGTTCAGACTTATTCCAAACTAGGGACATGCAAAACATTTCCAATTTTACTTCAAAACAACGCCAACTTGACTGAAAACATTCTGCTTGGAACACAAAACAACTGTTCTGAACTCAAAGCACGACGCGTTAAGGGAATCCATCAATTTCCCTTGCAAATGTTTAAATAGTATTTAATAGAAATAATTGGTAATAATGGACAGACAGCACTCCCAAAGTTTATATTTTGGGGACAGTGACATTCACCCAGGCTTCACCTCAGTACCCAAGTCCAACTTTTTCCTTGCACTTGTCCCAGGAGGTGGAAATAAAATCTTGAGCAATCATAGATATTGCAATAATCTAAAACCAGATGTCTGGGGTATTATTAAGCTGAAATATAATCAAACCTATTTGGCTAATAAAGGTAATATTCCCTTAGTCTACACTCCAAAAAGCTATTAATGTAGGAAATCTTAAAAGTATAATCAAATTATTTGTATTTGATCTTACCTCTCCATCTTCAGTAAATACAATTTTTGTATTTACTTTAAAATTTCTCTTCAAAACCTTTTTAGCTTCTTTTGTCTTAGTTATTTTCTTCTTCACTTTTACATTCTGTGTAACCTAAAAAAGATGGGAAAAAGATGGAAGACAGCCTTTATCATAAAAGGTTCTGAAATGAGCATTATTCAATCAGCACCAAAAAACCCTACCTTTCAGCGTTTTTTAAATAAATACATTTCTAATCCTGCAAATTTCAGTAATACATGTTAACGTGTGATATGATGTCTCAAAAAGAAAAGGGAAGATAATAGGGAAATTTTGTGATGTGATATCTCAAAAAGAAAAGATAATGGGAAAATTTCTAAAGTCGTTAATACATCAGACTGTGATGAGGCAACGACTATCTCAATACTGCTGCAATTTTGCACCCTTAACTGAGCCAGATAAAATCTAATAGTCAGTTTTATAGATATCTCTTTTGCTTGATAAAAATTTTATTCTCAATAAGCATTCAAACATTTCACATATAACATCCTATAAATATGTTGAGTATTATAAGGCTTGCAAGGAAACATATTATTTTTATAACCTACAATTTTCTAATATTTGCAGTTTCCAACCACATTAGCTTTTCCCAATAGTATTTATAAACACTAGTTTGTTCCATACATAATTAATACTATTTCAAACTGCTATGATTAATACAGGTTACTTAATAGCTAAGAAGATATATAACAGAAATAACTTAGGGGCAACATAATAAATGTCTAAATTAATAGATGGCAAAACATCTAAATTAATAAATGTAATGAATGTCTTTTTATTAAACTCACAATGCCCTTCAATTTGTAAAACAAGTTCATCAATATTGGTTTTAAATTTATAACCAGTACCTGTTCAGGCCAGCTAAATGTGGAAACAAAAGTTTAGATTATTGAAATGGAAATTAAAAATGGAAAGCCAAACTTAAAATGTCTTGCATTTTCTCCCTTAATGGCTATCTCTTTACGTATGTCTGTATTTATATGTGAGTGGAGGGATTCTGTATTGTTTTCAGAAAATGCTCTGAGGCAGTCTCTCATGAAACTCCCAGGGAAACAATTTTTCACTGGCATGTAATGCCATCTTAAACGAAATGTGTGGATTTTCCACATTGAAACATAGCTTCCCATGTGTTCGAGGGGGTGCAATGGCTCAGTGGTTAAAGTCACTGAGCTTGTCACTTGAAAAGCTAACAGTCCGGGTTGGAGACCCAAGTGCCGTGCAATGGGGTGAGCTCCTGTTCTTTGCCCCAGCTCCTGCCAACCCAGCAGTTTCAAGCATGCAAATGCAAGTTGGTTAATAGATACCACTTTGGTGGTAAGATAACATTGTTCTGGCGTGCCTTTGGCGTATAGCCATGCTGACCATATGACCATAGAAAATGTCTTTGGACAACGCTGGCTCCATTGGCCGAGAAACAGAGATGAGCACCACGCCCTAGTGTCGGACATAACTGGACAGGGAAATCTTTACCTTTACCTTCCCACCTGTTCAGATCATGCAAAACCCTCTTCAAATGTTAAATGAAAATTCATTAAATTAAATTAAATTAAATTTGTACCAAATGTACAGGTACAGATTAGATGAAACCTGGCTCAATGGCAGTAACTGAGAGAGGGATCTTGGAGTCCCAGTGGACAATCACTTAAATATGAGCCAGAAGTGAGGCAACAGCCAAAAAAGGCAGTGCAAAGCTAGGTTGTATTAACGGAGGGATAAAATCAAGATCATGTGAAGTGGCCTGTGAAAATTATTTGATCATAAAATATAGGAATAGCTCTGCTGGGTCAGACTATCTTAGCCAACGATTTTGATTCTTAAAATATATTGCACAAGCAGGGGACGGATCACACAGCTATGTTTAAAAATAAGTACAGCCCATTGATTTTTTTTTTACTTTTTCGTATTTAAAATTGGTTTCAGAATAAATAAAATATTTACATTTTGTAACCCATTGTGTATTTAAATAAACATAAATGCAAATTTCATATGTGGGAAAACTCAGGCCACCCCTACATGTATCATTCCTTCAAACATCCAAAACCATAAAGTGTGTCTGGCGAAAACCAAAGTCAGTACTTCACCAGAAGAATCTGATATTAACGGTAAGGCATGGTGGTAGAAATGCTACAGTTTGGGGCTGCTTCATTTCGCTCCATCAGGGTCTCGGGAGCTCATCATCACAGAATCCACTATGAATTTGTCATTGTATCAGAAGGTGTTTGAAGATTATGTGAGCTTGCAAGGCGGCAATGACCCTAAGCATTCCAGTTAATCCTCCAAGACAGGGCTTTTCAACCAGTGGTACGGGTACCACCTGTGGTACATTGGCACCTGGCAGGTGGTACGCGACCATCCTACAAAAGTGGTAGTGGGGGAGGGGAATGAGCTGAACTGGTGGCAGCACCGCACAAGCCTGCGCGAGAGATAGCTGGAGCAGCAGGGCTGTCAGGGCTCAGCGGAAGCGCCAGGATCAGTGCCGCGTTCCAGCTGATCGGCGCTTCTTTGGGACTGTCAGGGCTCAGCGGAAGTGCCAGGATCAGCGCCAGGCTCCAGCTGGAGCTCGGCGCTGATCCTGCTGCTTCTGCTGAGCCCAGAAGAAGCGCCAATCAGCTGCAAAGCAGCACTGATCCTGGCATCTCTGCTGAGCCCAGAAGAAGCGCCGATCAGCTGGAATGTTGCAGCATCTCCAGGGTCTTGTGATTTACATTCAGATGCTTGGCAACTGATTCATATTTATGATGGTCACAGTGTCCCAGGGTCATGTGAAGTGACGAAAACCAGCTGCAACCACCCAGCAGATGGGGGGAATAAAAACCAAACACCCCCCACCCCACCCCCGCTGCCAATCCTCAACAGAAATGCTCAGAACAATGAAAACCTCAGACAGGAGGAAGAGCGCCACTGGGTGGGCAGGCAGGTGTCTTGCTCGGCTGTGGCTTGGGGGGCACTTTTTTCAGTCCCATTGTAACTTCGAACAGTCACTAAGTGAAGTGTTGTAAGTCGAGGACTACCTGTACTTCATCACTTTTTCCCCTTTTTTTGTCATCAAGTTTTTGACACCTTGCTAGGCGACTAGTGGTATTCGGATGTTGCCATATCCTAAAAGTGGTACAATGGGTGAAAATGTTGATCCCCTTTTGCGACCGTCTGACAAGCAAAGGCAATGGGGAAGCCAGATTCACTTAACAACCGTGTTACTAACTTAACAACTGCTGTGATTCACTTAACTCTGGCAAGAAAGGTCATAAAATGGGGGCAAAACTCACTTAACAAATGCTTCACTCAGCAACAGAAATGTTGGGCTCAGTTGAGGTCATAAGTCAAGGACTACCCGTATGTCCATGTAAAATATGAGAAGGTAAGAAGGTGAGAAGAAGCAAGAGCAATCTCAGAAGTTGCAAAAATAAAATAAAATAACCATACAAAATGCTTTTGTTGAAATCACTGGAAAGAACAGTATCTTTCATTCCCACAAGCCAAGGACAATTCTATCAAACAAACGGAGAATAATATTTCTTATTTCCCACGTCACTGCATCCATCGCAGAAGTGAGAAATGGATATTGGTTGCATGCTCTGCAAAATGATTTGCATTAAAAAAGGGAAAGAAAATAAGAGAGAGATGAAGGCATAAAAATACATTTCTTTGTGGACTTTAATGAAAATGACATAATCAATTTATCTTGCCCTCCGGAATCCAATTTTTAACCTGCCAGTTTCAATAACTGTTTTTAACATTGGGAATAAAAGCAGCTGCAGGCAAGTGAGGAGGGGGG